CATCCTGGCCAACATGGTAAAACCCTGTCTCTACTAAAAATACAAAAATTAGCTGAGCATGGTGGCATGTGCCTGTGGTCCCAGCTACTCAAGAGGCTGAGGCAGAGGAATCACCTGAACCCAGGAGGTTGCAGTGAGCCGAGATTGCGCCACTGCACTCCAGCCTGGTGACAGAGAGAGACTCTGTCTCAAAAAAAGAAAAAAAAAAATTAGCTGGGCATGGTGGCCCATGACTGGAGTCCTAGCTACTCATGAAGGTAGTGAGGTAGGAAGTTTGCTTGAGGCCAGAAGTCGAGGCTGCAGCAAGCTATGATTCTGCCACCATGCTCCAGCCCAGGTGAGAATGACATCCCATCTCTAAAAATGAAAAATAATTTAAAAAAATAGTAAAAATGAGTGGAAAGCAGTAGAGACCAAAGACAGATTATGTACACACATAGGAGAGATGGAGAGGAAAGAAAAAAGAATTACAATTTTTGGGCCTGGGCACTGTGGCTCACGCCTGTAATCCCAGCACTTTGGGAGGCCAAGGCTGGTGGATCACCTGAGGTTGGGAATTTGAGACCAGCCTGATCAACATGGAGAAACCCCATCTCTACTAAAAATACAAAATTAGCTGGGCATGGTGGTGCATGCTTGTAATCCCAGTTACTTGGGAGGCTGAGGCACGAGAATCACTTGAACCTGGGAAGCAGAGGTTACAGTGAGCCGAGATCATGCCATTGCACTCCAGCCTGGGCAACAAGAGTGAAACTCAGTCTCAAAACACACACACACACACACACACACCAATTTTTAAGGAAAACAGGATTCCTAAATCAGTAGATATTTAAGGCCAAGTGCAGTGGCTCACGCCTGTAATCCTAGCACTTTGGGAGGTGAGGCAGGCACATCACTTGAGGTCAGGATTTGGAGACTAGCCTAGCCAAAATGGTGAAACCCCATCTTTATTAAAAATACAAAAGTTAGCCAGGCATGGGGGCGGGCGCCTGTAGTCCCAGCTACTCAGGAGGCTGAGGTACAAGAATCACTTGAACCCAGGAGGTGGAGGTTACAGTGAGCCGAGATCACACTATTGCACTTCAGCCTGGGTTGACAGAGCAAGACTCCGTCTCAAAAAATAAAAAGCAAAAAGAAATGTAAGATATTTACAAGCCAAAAGAAGGGTCTGTGCACATGGGGATACCTGAAGAAACAATACATACTATTATGTAAGAACAAGTCCTAGGTAAAGGAAGGATGGGAGGAAAGATAGATTAAGCAGTTAACCTTCAAACTTTGAAGGATTTGAGGCTTCAGCTACAAAGTAAAGGTAGACTATGAGGGAATTCTTACCCTGCTCCCTTTCTTCTCCATAAAGTAGGTGACATCGCCTTATGAGAAAGAGGTCAAGGAAACGGAGTCTTTGTGGGAGTTCACCAAAGAGTCTAGTGATTAATAAAATAAATGATGAAAGATAGTTGCCAAAAGGCTTCAAGCAAAATGGCTATAGGGATCTGTAACTTCTTCCACCACTGGTCTGTGGTCTGGGAGCAGAAGCTGAAAAAACAGGCCGTGCTGGTTATTCAGTGTTAGGAATTGATAGAGTGAACTTCCCAGCTTCTTCCTATTTATTTTACAGACTGCAAGTTAACTCATTCAACACTGAGGGCAAAAGTTTCACCCAAATCTCAACAGCTCTTTCCAGCTCTGCATTTCACTATATCATGCAGATTATGTCCTCCCTTCCCTCTTCTACTCACTAGAAACATATCATGGTCACTCCTTTTAAGACTCCATTTCTAGGCTGGGCGTGATGGCTCACACCTGTAATCACAGCAGGGAGTCCGAGGTGGGTGGATCGCCTGAGGTCAAGAGTTTGAGACCAGTCTGGCCAACATGCTGAAACTCTATCTCTACTAAAAATAGAAAAATTAGCTGGGTGTGTTGGTGCCTGCCTGTAATCCCAACTACTTGGGAGGTGGAGGCGGGAGAATCACTTGAACGCAGGAGGCAGAGGCTGCAGTGACCTGAGATCACTACTGCACTCCAGCCTGGGCAACAGAGCATGACTGCTGTCTCCAAAAAAAAAAAAAAAAAAAAAACTCCACTTTTAGGGAGGGCTTGGTGCAGTGGCTCGTAACTGTAATCCCAGCACTTTGGGAGGCTAAGGCAGGCAGATCTACTGAGGTTAGGAGTTTGAGACCAGCCTGGCCAACATGGTGAAACCCCGTTTCTACTAAAAACACAAAAATTAGCTGGAGTGGTGGCTCAAGCTTGTAATCCCACCTACTCAGGAGACTGAGGGACAAGACCCACTTGAACTCAGGAAGGATCCTTGGAGGTGGAGGTTGCAGTGAGCCAAGATCGCACCACTGCACTGCAGCCTGGGTGACACAGTGGGACTTTGTCTCAAAAAATTAAAAAAAAAAACCCAAAACTCCACTTTTATAAACTCAAAGCAGTATGAGTAGGATTAAGGTGAATCCCATTCTCTTCCAATGTAAAGCATAGAAACTGACTTGGTGAATATATTTAATAAATGGTTGATCCCCCCATTTCCTACTCCTTTAAGAAGAAGCACTAATAATTAACTTTTTAAAACTTTATACAAGAAAATTCAGACAATGTGATTCTTTAGTCATTAAAGGGAAATGGAATAAGTAGAAATTAAACACGCACACACTAGAATAGCTTCCTACTAATCTTTAAACACTGGTATACCTCATCTGAATACACTCAGAACAAGCAATTTCAGTCCCAGAATGCCATCACATTTGCTTGTGTTATCATGCTTCCTGTTAAACATTTCAGGTAGAGAATAAACTGTAGTGACAAGGAAAATTAAAGATATTAGAAGCCTACAATTTCTTTTTTTTTTTTTGGGACGGAGTTTCACTCTTGTTACCCAGGCTGGAGTGCAATGGCGCGATCTCGGCTCACCGCAACCTCCGCCTCCTGGGTTCAAGCAATTCTCCTGCCTCAGCCTCCTGAGTAGCTGGGATTACAGGCACATGCCACCATGCCCAGCTAATGTTTTGTATTTTTAGTAGAGACGGGGTTTCACCATGTTGACCAGGATGGTCTCGATCTCTTGACCTCATGATCCACCCGCCTCGGCCTCCCAAAGTGCTGGGATTACAGGCGTGAGCCACTGTAAGCCTACAATTTCTAAGTGAATCTTTAAATCCCTATGAATGGTCCACCATAGTCCAAAATTCTTGTAAATGCTGTATATATTGAAGTATCATTTAAAAAAAGGAAGCTAGTTCCAAAATGATCTATCCAAAAAGAACCCTCTCTAAAGGAAAGCTCCACATGCTTAGCTATTTTTTTACAGTGGCAAAACAAAACAAAACAAAACCCAAATAATTCTGACAAAAGTTGAAAGCACTACTTATCACAAATGAAGAAATCATTTTCTGCTTTAATATTGCCAATATGGCATTTTCTGTATTGCCAAATGAACCATTTTTTTCCTCTTATCTCCTTATGGTAAAAATAAACCAACACAAATTACTCTGGGACTGTGTATTTTGTGTGAATTAGTAACCTATTAACAGTAAAATATGAGTTAATTATATACACACTTATTCTAATAAAAACTAGCCACTGAGCAATGAAGCCTGTTTCCTCAGACAGTGTTTTATGATTGGTTAAACCGTTGACCCTTGAACAGCATGGCTTTGAATTACTTGGGTCTACGTATAAGCAAATTATTTTGAACCAAACAAACATCTTAGAACTCGAAACCCATGTACACAGTGGGCTTTTTGTATACACAGGTGTGGGACCAATTCCCCATTTTTCTGATGTATGACTGTAATTAAAATTGTGGTGAAGAGTTTCTGCCTGCTTTTAAAAAATGCATATCTGATTAGGAATACCAGACTTTTCTAATAGGTCTACCTAACTTGAATACCAAAGTAATAAAGTATAATCATCATTGATAGATTAAGTTACCGTGATAAAAATGCTAAAGAATGGCTATTACCAATAATTAGGTATTTGACAAACCACACCGATTCCACTACTTTCTGTGGGTGTTCAATTCACAGAAGCAGTTTATTATCAATTAAGAATTAGAAGATCTGACCTCAGAAAAAACCTGCCACTTTACTAAGATATAAAAGAAGGGGCTAAACTGGATTAGTCTTTAAAGGCTCATCTAACCCAATACTCTGCATTGTAAAGTATACTGTATTCTTTTTTTTTTTTTTTTTTGAGATGCAGTCTCACTGTCACCAGGTTGGAGTGCAGTAGCGTGATCTCGACTCCTTGCAACCTCAGCCTCCTGGGTTCAAACAATCCTCCTGCCTCAGCCTCCTGAGTAGCTGAGACTACAGGTGCCTGCCACCGTGCCCAGCTAATTTTTGTATTGTTAATAGAGACAGGGTTTCACCATGTTGGCCAGGAGACCAGGATGGTCTTGATCTCCTGACCTTGTGATCCACCTGCCTTGGCCTCCCAAAGTGCTAGGATTACAGAAGTGAGCCACTGCACTTGGCCTTTCTTTTTTTTTTTTTTTTGAGATGGACTCTCACTCTGTCACCCAGGCTGGAGTGCAATGGTATAGTCTCAGCTCACTGCAACCTCCACCTCCTGGATTCAAGCGATTCTCCCACCTCAGCCTCCTAAGTACCTGGGACTACAGGTGTGTGCCACCACACCAGGCTAATTTTTGTGTTTTTAGTAGAGAAGGGGTTTCACTATGCTGGCCAGACTGGTCTTGAACTCCTGACCTTGTGATCCGCCCACCTTGGGCTCCCAAAGTGCTGGGATTATAGGTGTGAGCCACTGCGCCCGGCCTGGATTTTTTTTTTTTTAAGATTTATTTGTTGGAGCTACAAATGAAATCATCAAAAGGCAGAGGAATGCTAATCGGAGAGTCTAGATTATTTTACCAATTTTGCTAGTAGATAATATTTCATACCCTAAAAACTACAAATCACCACCACAAAGTTCTTTGCAACATAGAACAATCTAAAAACCACAACTCAATCTTTAGAGCTGAGAATAAATCATGTGAAACCTGTAACATTTTATTTGTTAAAAATGAACAGCTTCAGAATAGATCTAAATGTAACTTTTTCAAAAAACACCAAAAAGTACAGTGTAAAGCACCTCCTCATTAAATACAAACTTTCATTGTGATGCACTGCATCAATGTTTTGCATATACCTTGATGCAAAGAAAATCTTAAGTTGCATCCTGTTTTTTTAAAAAAACAAAACTTTCAACTGAACAAGGACGATGATGACCACATTCCAATAAAGAACATTTTCCTCCAACAAGGGCATTGTTTGGTTTATGTACAACATGTGAGCACTCAGGAGTTCCTCCAACAAGGGCATTGTTTGGTTTATGTACAACATGTGAGCACTCAGGAGTTTTCATTTAGTTGTACCAACGGCAAAGTATTCTACTTTAAATTACAGATGCAAAAAGAACAAAAGTTTAATATACCAAAGATCATTTGTTATTTGATGCACTCAATGTCAATATTTGGGGCAATTTTTAAAGTTTTCCCAAAAAATGGCATTAATAGCTCTATGCAATAATAGTTAAGAACAGGAAAATGAAAACGCCTTTATACCATATTTTCAGAAACCATTCTAAAAAGACAGCAAACTCGTGCTCAGCTGCTTTTCCTTGCTTTAAAATAAGCTACCAGTAATTCTAAGTCAGACTAAAACGTACTGTTCCTAGACCAAATACAGGCATTCATACTTGCAAAAATGTTTTGCATGAGTTCTTGGCCTATATGAAAAGCATCAAATAACTAAGGACAGACTAGAATTTATTTTCAAATTCTGTGACTGACTTGCAATAATCCCTTATCAGTAGAAGTACCAGCAAAATATCAGCTATTAAGGATCAGATTTAATTCTTTGGTATAAGCATGAAACTATTACTGATAGCTTTCCATGGCTGGCATAAACCATTAAGTGACCCAAGAAGCATGAGAGACAATGACGACATCTAGTATACAATGCAAGGCAGGCCAAGAACGTTAATGTTTTGTCTTACAGGAAAAGTCAACACTAACAATATACTCCTGAGAAACTAACACTTATTTAGATGTTTTTAACATAATAGCAAACTAAAATGTCAAGCTTCAAAATGACCAAACTTGTAACTTATAGCTGGAATATTTTGCTGCATTTGGCATTATACCATAGTTTATAGTATACAGCATCTGAGGTCTCAGTACTATCTTGGCACAACAAACTAACTTTTCCCACTCCATCAGAGGTGGCAGGTGGCGGGGTGGTGGGGGGAGGGCCTTTTCTCCCCATAAATGCCTGAACTTTAATTTATACCATATAAGAAATCAGTGAAAGGTAAACAACAAGGTTAGTGTAACTCTATTATAAATTTTGCATTTTGTCTCTCTGTGACATATACAAGTATATTTTTGTTTTTGGAGCTATAAATTAATTTAGCAATCTTCAAAGCTCATAAATTTCAACTTTTCAAATAAGAAATTTTAACTTCAAATAAGAAGTCTAGGACTTTATGGCTATTATTTTACTATTAAAATATCCAAGAGACTCGGTCAGGGTAATAACTGTACTTTTTCTAAATATCATTTGAATAATTCTTTGCGGGCACTAGACTCAAGACTACACTAACCCAAACAGCACACCTACAGCCTGGGTTTTGAAGCTTTTCATCTCAACTACCTGTCCTTCAACTTGCTACTTACTTCCTCTCTCATGCCCTCCTTTATGAATCACAAACTGTCATTTTTTTAAACTGGACCTTCTCCTCCAAGGCCCTATCAGATAACTTTGTAAATATGCAGTTACAGTCTTTAAAGACCATCATTTTAAACTGAGACTAGAAACTAGAGCCACATTTCTTGTTAAAAGTTCAGCACTAAAGCTGTATAATTCCAGGGGATTACACTGTCTGAAAAATGAACCAAGTTCTAGATATTCCCATAAATCTTAAAATCCAAAACTGGAATTCTAATAAATTTTTTTATATCTCTAATAAAGAAAAGGCAACTGCACTTACTACATCAACACTATTAAAGTATAAGTGACAGCAACAAAGGGACCTACTCATGTTTCTCAAGACCAAGATTTACGATGACAAATTCTAAAATACGGGCAAAGATGATGAGATCCTGAATACCACTATCATAAAAATAATCCATTTCTATCTTCCTGTCTTCTTTCTGCTGCACGAGGAACCAAAGAAGTCAAACAGATGATTCTTCTGTCTGAGCCAACCATGAAATCTTTAACACCAGATAGGTACAATCCCTATTATCCTTTCAGGGCATTATTTTATACATGTTTTTTTTTAAAAAAAACTTCAAAAATAAAAATAAGAGTTATTTAGCCTTGTGAGTATTCTAAAGTAAAGTTTCTTGAATTTCTGTGATGAACTCTTCAAGGAATTCAACTTTTCAAACAGAGTCATCACTCAAAAGTTCCTTTGACATGGGCTCTATCCCACGGTTACAAAGCGGTTTCCCCCTTTGTTGTATGTGAGAGTGGCTCTTTGTTCCTTCAGGATCCCAAACCGCTCATTCAACGTCATCCCTGTCTAGAGAAAAGAAAAGAAAAAAACACAACAGGGCAACAGTTAACAACTTTACTGAAAGCCATATTTGCCTTGAAACAATAGTGTGACCTTATGATTAATAGTAACCATGGCTAACATTTCCTAACTATTTACCTGCATGACCTCATATAAAGCATACATTATATACTATATAAAACACACACATACTATAATGTCTAGAAGAATTGTTTTCAGGCTTTGTAAACACTGCCACCAACTAATGACGTCTTTGATAAGAGTAAGAACTCTTCAGACCTGTAAATATTTTGTGGTTAATTTTCTTGAATTACAGCGAGTTCAATAGAAATTCAAATTAAATTCAAATGAAAATCTGTTTTTTTATTACCAGCATCTACAAACTATACCATTTCTGGAAGAAAATAATAGTAACAAAATAAAAATAAGCAAAACAAATTTGGTCAAATTTCTTTCTTTTTTTTTGAGACAGAGTCTCGCTGTGTCACCTAGGCTGGAGTGCAGTAGCACAATCTCACCTCCCTGCAATCTCTGCCCACTGGGTTCAAGCAATTCTCCCACCTCAGGTTTTCCAGTAGCCTGGCTAATTTTTTTATTTTTAGTGCAGATGTGGTTTCTCCATGTTGATCAGGCTGGTCTGAAACTCCTGACCTCAAGTGATCCACCCGCCCTGGCCTCCCAAAGTACTGAGATTACAGGCCTGAGCCACCACACCTGGCCAATGTGGTCCAATTTCTATCCATCCTTCATATCTTCAATTTCACATTATTTCAGTGAATAACAAAAATGCATCTGATAACATCAATTCATGATAAAAATTCTCAGCAAATCAGGAATAGAAGGGAGCTTCCTCAATGTGACAAAGAGAATCCATTAAAAAAAAACCGCCAACTATGGCTAATACCACACTAAATGGTGATGCATTTAATGCTTTCTCCTCAGGCTTTGGAACAAAGGCATGCATACAAGTATACATCTTGCCACTTTTGTTTTGTTTTGTTTGAGGCAGAGTTTTGCTCTTGTTGCCCAGGCTGGAGTACAATGGTGCGATCTCGGCTCACCGCCACCTCCACCTCCCAGGTTCAAGCGATTCTCCTGCCTCAGCCTCCCTAGTAGATGGGATTACAGGTGCCTGCCACCACACCCAGCTAATTTTTGTATTTTTAGTAGAGACAGGATTTTGCCATGTTAGCCAGGCTGGTCTTGAACTCCTGACTTCAGGTGATCTGCCCGCACTGGTCTCCCAAAGTGCTGGGATTACAGGTGTGAGCTACCACACCCAGCTGGTTTTGACAATTTTTTGTGTTAATCTTGTATCTTGTAATCTTGCTTGATGGCTATAGCCAAACAGCAGAAAATAGTGAGTGTTGGTGAGAAATCAGAACCCCTTACAGATGCTGGTGGGAATGTAAAGTTGTAGCACAGACTCTTCTAGGGAAAACAGTCCAGCAGTTCCTCAAAAGGTTAGACACAGAGTTACTACACAACCTAGCAATGTAGGTATTCACCACAAAGAAATGAAAACATATGCTCACACAAAAACTTCTGCACAAATGCTGAGAGCAGTATTATTCGTAACAGCCAAAGATTGAAAACAACCCAAATGAAGGGTTGTATATATGTACTATATACATATCATGAACACTATTCAGCAGTAAAACAAAATTAAATACGGATACAACATAGATGAACCCTGAAAACATTATGCTAAGTGCAAGAATTCAGTCACAAATATATACCGTATGAGCCAATTTATATGAAATGCCAAAACAGGCAAACTGGCAGACAAAAGTACATTAGTGGTTCCCTGGGTTTCAGGGTGCAATTAAGACGCCTTGTTTATAATTCACTGTTATAGTAACTGCTTTGTTAATTAAAATACTCTCAGCAAATAACCCAAAAAAATACAGAAAACTTTTTTTTTTTACCTGTTTTCCAACACTGTTTATGTCAAACTGTAAGGGAACACCTTTAGGAACTTTCTTTACATCATTTTGCTCCCGTTTTGTTAAAAATGAAGGTACAGCAGTACGAGTTAATCGCGGTTTCTGAGTTCTATTAGAAAAAAATTAAAATATCAGAGCAGTTTAACAATGAAAAGAAAAAGAAATTCATTTGTTACTTTAGACATCTTGTACACACGTCCAAATGTATTAGGGCCATTTTGTTTTTGTGCTTAAAAAAACATGTCAGCTATTCCAGACTAAAATATATAATTGTTCAGAGAATACCTCTTTAAATAGAACTACAAACTTTTCAACGAGTTAGCATGTCTGGTGAATCCTAAGTCTTGATAATAAAGCAACCTCTAAAGTCTTAGGCACCCATTCTACATTCTTTTCATTTTAATCATTAAGATGGCTGGATGGCTAGGCACAGTGGCTCAGGCCTATAATCCTAGTACTTTGGGAGGCCAAGGCAGAAGGATCGCTTGAGGCCAGGGGTTAAAGACCAGCCCAAGGAACATAGCAAGGCCCCATCGCCCTGCTTCCCAAGATCGGAAGCAGGGAATATATATATATATATATATATATATATATATATTAGCTGGGCATGGTGGTGCATGCCTATATTCCCAGCTACTCAGGAGGCTGAGGCAGGAGAATCACTTGAGCTCAGGAGTTTGAGGCAGTAGTGAGCTATGATGGCACTATGGTACTACTGTACTCCAGCCTGGGCATCAGTGAGACCTTATCTCTTTAAAAAAATCAAGAGATGGTTGAATAGAACATAAGCTCCATGAATTGACAAAGTTTATAATGCAATAATTTTAGAGAAGGTAGGTCTGTATGGTCTGAAAAGTAAAGAAGTGAAAATATTACAGGGACTGAGGGAAGAAGTAGCATGTATATTGTCATCTCATTTATTATTGTACATAAAAATACACATATTGGGTCAGGTGCAGTGACTCACACCTGTAACCTCAGCACTTTGGAAGGCCAAGGTGAGAGGGCTGCTTAAGTCCAGGAGTTCAAGACCAGTCTGGGCACAAACAAACAAAAACGCCAGGCATGGTGGTGGGCAACTGTAGTCCCAGCTACTCAGGACTCCGGAGGCTGAGGCAAGAGGACTGCTTGAGCTTGGGAGGTCACGGCTACAATAAGCCATGATCATGTCACTGCACTCCTCCAGCCTAAGTAAGAGTCAGATCTTGTCTCAAAACAAAAAGGTACATATAGTATATATACACAGAATTTTTAAAGTATAAAAAACATTGTCCTTGAGTGTCCAGTTTTCCCGTGTTGTTTTTAGTCTCTTGTGCTGTGCCTAGTGGCACCTGGGCTGGGGAGGACACTGCCCCGTCTAGGTTTTTATGAATGTCTTGTTCAAGTTCAAACCTCCAGCTTGTGAATCAACTGTGTCTCTTTTTTGACTTGGTAAGCTTTGGGGTGGGGGGAGGTCTGTAATGTGAAACAACTTCTTGTCTTTTCTCCCATTGTTGTAAATAACTTTTAATGGCCAAACCCCAGATTTGTACAGTTTTTTTTCTAACCGCTATAAAACCATCTCTTCCACCTGGTTTTACTGTAACATTTGGAAAAGAAACAAATGTCCTCCCTCAGAAAAAACAAAAACAAAAAAAACGCTGTTCAAAGGTGGTCATTTAGAGCTGCAGAACCAGGAATCAAGGGAGCTCTTACTTTTAACTTTATACCACACTGTTTCCATATTGTATCACAAATATTACTTTCTTCAGAAGTCCAATACTTTATTATCTCATGTACTAAGAGGTTATAGTTTCTGCAAAAAGAAAAAACAACTCACACTGGGCATTGCACTGCTCCGGGATTGTCAATAGATACAGTCAAAATTCCTCCATTTGTCGTGGAAGTCCGCCACCTAGTTTAAAAAAAAAAAAAATCAAAAAAATGTCATTAAATATAAGTTTATAAACCCTATGCATATTCAAGATAAAAATAAACATTTTAAAAGTAGCCATTACTTTTTCTTAGCTTGTAAGACATAAATACCTAAACCCCACCATGATATAATGAATCAACATCTTTGGGTATAGGAACTGGGCATCTTAATTTATTTATTAAATATTTTTCAATGTAATAAATATATACAAATTTTTAAAAATCAAATAGTACAGAAGAACTTCTAATAAAAAGCAACAGTCCCTCACCTCACTATTCTCCTGCTTTCCATTCCTGCTCCCCAGAGGCAGCATTTTTAACCTTTCTGTTTTTACTGCTTGCTGGTTACTTCCAATTCACTAAACAATAAGCTTATATAAAAACCTTGTTTGATGAATAAAGATTTAGTTCATCACACTATCCTCCAGTTTCCTCATCCACCTTGAAACATTTTGAAGGCTGTTACCATTATTTCACTGTCTTTGTAACTTTAAAGACTTAAATCGCTGTTTCTTTCAGTACAATCTGTTGACCCCACCCCCAACTTTATGTGAAAGGATAACAGTGCCTCTACTCTATTTGTTCCTTCCACCTCTTCCACTTTGTATCTCTCACCTTTTATTATTTTATTTTGAGATGGAGTTTCGCTCTTGTTACCCAAGCTGGAGTACAGTGGCACGATCTCGGCTCACTGCAACCTCTGCCTTCCAGTTTCAAGCGATTCTCCTGCCTCAGCCTCCCGAGTAGCTGGGATTACAGGCATCCGCCACCACGCCCAGCTAATTTTTTGTAGAGACGGGGTTTTGCCACGTTGGCCAGGCTGGTCTCCAACTCCTGCCCTCGTGATCTGCCTGCCTTGGCCTCCCAAAGTGCTGAGATTATAGGTGTGAGCCACCACCGGCCATACTGCTCACTTTTTGTCAGCTCTTCCTTTATATTCACATTAGTCAAAATCTGACATTTACATTATACTGTGTTCTCTATTTTGTGCTTTGTCTAACAGGTTGATTCTCAAAGTTCAAAACAAATAACATTTATATTATTATGATTACGTATTTGTTCACTCCAGAAGCAAAAGGCTATAATTATTATTTCTTTCCCTGTGGTTTCTAATGTCATGACCCCTGTGCTAAAAAATACCACCAGTGTCAGTTTCACAGTTTCCTTTCTAACACTCCATTTGCTAAAAATCATGCCCCACTGTAGTTGGCATCGTATCTGGACCATGACCATGTTTTACAGCCAGCTCTCTGTATCTGCAGGTTCTACATCCATGTATTCAACCACAGATTGAAAGCAATCCGTGGATATGTAGGGCCGATTGTAAGGAACTTGAGTATCTGGGGATTTTAATGTCTTCAATAGTCCTGGAACCAATTCCTCTGAGACAGGGAGGACCAATTGTGTATATTTTGTTTTCCAAAAAGTAGCCAAAATTTTAAATAGTTTCATCTCAAAACGTAATCACAATGATAGGATTAGTATGTTAGTTACAACGCACACTTAGGAGGTGTAATTATAACAGGATAAAATAGATTTTCAAAATATTTTTTTATACAGGCAAGAAAAAAAGCCTGTAAAAAGGAAAACTATTGTTTTTAAAGTTGTACAAATTTTCTAAAACCTCCACTGAATTTTATTCTATTCATTCCCTAAATAGGTTCATTTGTATAAAAGCCGTTTATGGCCAAAAATAAAAAGTAAAAAGCTGTTTAATTAAAATGGAATAGGCAATAAAAATTAAAAATAATAAAAAAACAAGTAATCTACTTGGCACTAAAACTGTTACAATATTGACGTGAAAACTCAAAAGGTTTTTGGGGAAAATTAACAAAGGACAAAATAGGATTTATTTAGTTTAGGCTCAATTTTTAAAAATGTTTTTTTGGAGACAGAGTCTCCATAGCCCGAGCTATGCTGCCCATGCTGGTGTGCAGTGGCTATACACAGGTGAGATCATGGCACTTCACAGCCTTCAATTCTTAGGCTCAAGCAATTCTCTTGCCTCAGCCTCCCAAGCTGGGACTACAAATATGTAGCACCACTATGCCCAGCTTTCAGGCTCAATTTTATTTTGGGTTTCAATTAATTTCTTCTGGGCTGGGGCACATGATAATTTGGGTAGTTAGTATTCTGAGAGTTTTGAAATAACACCTTGAAAAACAAATTGAAACTTACTGACGAGTTCTCTTTGCTACTACATCGTCTAGCAGTTGTTCTGTGTTCAACTGGGCCTGAACCTGAAGGGAAAAAAAAAGCAGTAGGTCCCACAGAAAGCAGCGGATTGATCCTGCTCTAGAACTTTATAACCCAGTGGGGTATGGGCATGAACGCAGAAGAGGGGCCTGTGCTATTCTGGCAACACTTCCCTGTTGAAATTCCTGTAAGAGAGCAAGTGGCAAATACAAGTTTATTCCCAAATAACATGTTAAATTCTATTGAGGGTAACAAAAGACAAATATAGAAAAAATATAATAGAAAGAACTAATCTACTGTCACATTCTCCACATCCCGAACCCAACACTGCCTATGATTGAGACTTACTAAAGGTGGCTGCTCAGGTTCCTCTTTGGGTAAACACACAAACACACACTGCCAAAGTGTTTTTAATACCTTCAGGCCTCTTCTGAAAAGAAAAGTTGCCTGACGAGTATCTTTCTGATGATTTAATTTATTTCCACTCCTGGTAAAATTAGCTGGAATGCTATTTCTGCAACAAAAACACATATGCCATGCTAAGCCATTTAACTACTTTCAAACATCTTAAGGAAAAATAAGCAAAACTAGTTAAATTCATAGGCTGCAAACTTGAGGTGCAAGTAACAAACTCTGAATTATTTCCTTATTTACATGAAGCTATCCGAGACTTGATTAACAAATACCTCCCTCCGAAGCATAGCACATAACCACGTTAATTTCAAACTACTTTATTTTCCAAATACTCAATCCTCTAATATTCTATATATCTTCTGAAGACATTAACAATCACATTTTTAGTACTATTTACTATATTTGGTGAAAACATAACTTTACAATTTACAGGATTAGTACAAAGAAAAACTACACATAGGCACATCGTAGTCAAACAGAATATGAGAACAAACAAAAATAAAGAGACTGGTTTGAAAAATAACATCTCCTCTTCCAGCTTTCTCTTCCTTCCTCACTCAGAAACCTTTATGCATTAATATAAACCACAAAGGCTGTGCATTGTGACTCACATCTGTAATCCCAGCAGTTTGGGGATTAAATAAATAGTACTTGAAACTGGTGAGTGGATCACTTGAGGTCAGGAGTTCCAGACCAGCCTGGGCAACATGGTGAAACCCTGTCTCAACTAAAAACACAAAACTTAGCCAGCCTTAGTGGCATGCACCTGTAGTCCTAGTTACTCAGGAGGCTGAGGCATGAGAATTACTTCCATCAGGGAGGCAGAGGTTGCAGTGAGCAGAGATCACGCCACTGCACTCCAGCCCAGGCAACAGAACAAGACTTGAAAGACTTCATTTCAAAATATAAATAAATAAACCACAGAAAAACTTATACTCTTCTATTTCTTGTTCTTTCATGCATAGAACAATGCTTTTAATTATGTTTGATTTTAACCAATTCTTTTTTTTTTCTTTTAAGTTCTGGGATACATGTGCTGAATGTGCAGGTTTTATGTAGGTATACATGTGCCATGGTGGTTTGAGGCACCTAATTTGTTTTCTATAGGAAGTTGGTGAAGTATGAAAAATTAAAATTTCATATTTATCTATGAAATATTCAATCCTCTAATATTCCATGTCTTCAATTGATCTACTGATAAATATAAAACACTATATAAACAAGTGTTTAACAGATTCCCTAGTCTTACCTCCAACCTTTCAGAGGTTCAAGTGTAAAATTCCCCTAGCTAACCCAATTAACACCTAAGTCTCACGTAAATGATGGGTTCTTATTTGAGAAGGTTCCCGTTCACAAAAGGTATTATCAAGTGATTCCCAAAAGATGGTGGTTAAAACTGCAATTCCAGCCATTCCATTTATTTTATTTTTTTAAAATTTTTTCAAGACTACTGTTGCCCAGGCTGAAGTGCAGTGGCACGATCTTGACTTACTGCACCCTCCACCTCTTGGGTTTAAGCAATTCTCCTGCTTCAGCCTGGGCCTGGAACTACAGCATGCGTGACTATGTCTGGCTAATTTGTGTATTTTAGTAGATGGGGTTTTGCCATGTTGGCCAGGCTGGTCACAAACTCCTGCCCTCAGATGATCCACCCACCTCAGTCCCCCAAAGTGCTGGGAATATAGGTGTGAGCCACTGTGCCCAGCCATTCCACTTTTTTAAAAACCTCATTTCAGGTTTTCTTTTCTGAATTATCTTCTACTTAAGATAATAGTACTTGAAACTGAGTAAGGAAACTTCACACCTCATCAACTTCATCTACTTTGTCCTTACAGAGAACAGAATGCCATAACAACAGATCATAATTTTTCTTCTCTATTTTAGAGATGTGGGTCTCAGTACGTTGCCTAGGTTAGCCCTGCATCCTGGGCTCATGAGATCCTCCTCCCTTAGCCTATTAAGTAGCTGAGACCACAGACACATGCCGCTGCACCCAGCTCACAGGCCATGATTTTTAGATTTTTATTATTTGATTTAGTATAAAAATAACTTCAGTTTAAGGAGTATGCACGAAGAATTCTCCTTAGAAAGTTTGATTTTTCCAAGGCCGGGCGCGGTGGCTCAAGCCTGTAATCCCAGCACTTTGGGAGGCCGAGGCGGGTGGATCACGAGGTCAAGAGATCGAGACCATCCTGGTCAACATGGTGAAACCCCGTCTCTACTAAAAATACAAAAAATCAGCTGGGCATGGTGGCGCATGTCTGTAGTCCCAGCTACTCAGGAAGCTGAGGCAGGAGAATTGCCTGAACCCAGGAGGCGGAGGTTGCGGTGAGCCGAGATCGCGCCATTGCACTCCAGCCTGGGTAACATGAGTGAAACTCCGTCTCAAAAAAAAAGAAAGTTTGATTTTTCCACGACTAACAAACATTGTGATTCAGTGTTCTAGTAAGAGCCATCCAGACTAACAAATTGCTTCCAGAATTCCCAATTTTGAATAATTCTGAGATGTTAAGAGTTCTACCAGAGCTGTGCACACTGGCATATGCCTATAATCCGGCACTTTGGGAGGCTGAGGTGGAAGGATCACTTGAGGCCAGGAACTGAGACCAGCCTGGGTGACATGGTGAGACCCCATCTCTAAAAAAATTTTTTTTTAAAAATTAGCTGGGCATGATAGCATGTATCTGTGGTCCCAGCTACTCGAGAGGCTGATGTGGGTGTATCACTTGAGCCCAGGGCGTCGAGGCTCCAGTGAGCAGTGATGGCGCCACTGTACTCCAGCCTCAGCAACAGAGGGAGAAGACCCTGAATCACAAAACGGGGAAAAAAAGAGTTCTACCAAAGTGATCAGTTTTTGCAATTTTATTCCGTATGTCAAAGAGGTAAAGAAGCAGAGTGATGCTTTTTAAAAAGCTTATAATGGGGCCGGGCGCAGGGGCTCACGCCTGTAATTCCAGCACTTTGGGAGGCCAAAGCAGGTGGATCACAAGGTCAGGAGTTCCAGACCATCCTAGCTAACACAGTGAAACCCAGTCTCTACTACTAAAAATACAAAAGTTAGCTGGGAGTGGTGGCACGTGCCTGTAGTCCCAGCTACTTGGGAGGTTGAGTCAGGAGAATTGCTTGAACCCAGGATGCAGAGGTTGCAGTGAGCCAAGATCGCGCCATTGTACTCCAGCCTGGGTGACAGAGTGAGACTCATTCTCAAAAAACAAATAAAGAAAGAAAGAAAGAAAAGAAAGGCCGGGTACAGTGGCTCACACCTGTAACCCCAGCACTTTGGAAGGCTGAGGTTGCAGATCACAAGGTCAGGAGATCAGGATCATCCTGGCCAACATGGTGAAACCCTGTCTCTACTAAAAATACAAAAATTAGCTGAGTGTGGTGGTGTGTGCCTGTAATCCCAGCTACTCGGGAGGCTGAGGCAGGAGAATCACTTGAACCAGGGAGTCGAAGGTTGCAGTGAGCCGAGAATGCACCACTGCACTCCAGCCTGGAAGACAGAGCAAGGCTCCGTCTCAAAAAAAAAAAAAAAAAAAAAAAAAATCAAAAAGCTTATAATAGTTAAATTAATCAGTAACAATTCATCCAACAAACAGAAGCTATTACTGGATACGTCCATGTGGATATTCAGATAGACATCCAAAATATATCTTGAAAATGACCAGATAACTAAAAAAATCACTGCAAATCCATTCTTCACGCCACTTAGTCCAAGTGTTTTTTAATGCAAGATAACTCATCATTATATCTGAGTACTTACTTTCTGTTTAGCTGGTTAGGTCTCTTGAGAACTGCAACTGGTTTCCTCTGCCCTTCATTTTGTCTCAGAAGGTTCGCCTTCCTTTTTAACACCGGAAAATATCGTTCTATATTCTATCAGAAGGCAAGACACTGTGTTAATCAAATTGTATTTTTCTATATATCCTACTACAATAAACATTTCTGGTGCAGAATGAACAGGGATTGACAACTGCTTGAATGTGCAGATAAGGGAGATGGAGAAACTAAAACAACTTGAAAACTTAGTCCAAGTGATTGAAAAGATGAAAACCATACATTATCTTTAAAATATGTGAGGTACTCAGGGGATCCACAGGTGATGGGGAAACATGGCTCTGGAACTCAAGAGAAGAATCAGAGAGCCAGAGATATAAATTAGGGGATAATTTATATAAACATGATTTTTGAACACTAATAAATTTTAAAAAGCCAAGTTCCAAAACAAATGCATGCTGAAAACAAAGCGGGGGAAGTTATGACTGCAAAGAAGCTGGAGTAGACATGGTTAGAGGCAAAACGCAAAATGCAGTATCACAAAAGAAAAAGCATATGAAACATCCTCTTTCTTCCTCAACATATATAAATTAAATCCATCATTAAAGCCTAATTCAGATATCCATGTTCTCCATAAAGACTTCTCTAAGGTTCTTGACAAATATGGACCTTATACTTTATCTGGATTCTTCTATGAAGTATATGAGAAGTATTTCAAAAATATCCATTGACTAAATCACATTAAAAAGTCTTAATTTGGCCAGGCGCGGTGGCTCACACCTGTAATCCCAGTACTTTGGAAGGCCAAGACAGGTGGATCACAAGGTCAGGAATTCGAGACTAATGTGGCCAGGATGGTAAAACCTCATCTCTCCTAAAAATACAAAAATTAGCCAGGCATGGTGGCACACGCCTGTAGTCCCAGCTACTGAGGAGGCTGAGGCAGGAGAATTACTTGAACCCCAGAGGCAGAGGTTGCAGTGAGCCGAGATTGCACCACTGCATTCCAGTGTGGGCAACAGAGCAAGACTTCATCTCAAAAAAAAAAAAAAAAAAAAAAAAAAAAAAAGTCTTAAGTTTCGGCCAGGAGTGGTGGCTCACACCTGTAATGCCAGCACTTTGGGAGGCCAAGGTGGGCAGATCACTTGAGGTCAGGAGTTTAAGCCAGCATGGCCAACATGGTGAAACCCCATCTTCACTAAAAATATAAAAATTAGCCGGGAGTGGTGGCGCACACCTATAATCTCAGCTACTTGGCAGGATGAGGCAGGAGAATCGCTTGAACCTGGAGGGAGGAGGTTGCAGTGAGCCAAGATCATGCCACTGCCCTCCAGCCTGGGTAACAGAGTGAGCTTCTGTCTATATACTGAAACAAACAAACAAACAAAAAGCTTAGTTATATTCGAGAATGTGGAAATTTAGGTACTCTTTATAAATAGCATTGATTTTTATTTAAATATTAAATTTTTTTAATATCAATCCCAAAGTACTACATAAAAAGAAATAAAATGCTCTCTTAACCTTATTCACAGAAATGTTAGTATAAATAAAGGAAAAGGATTATCTAATCCAGGATTAAACCATCATCCTACCTTATCACTTAGAGGTGGACGATTCATAGGGCTAATTCCTTTTCGAATTCCAGTTGTTTTCCTAGCTGCAAGGCCAGTAATGACTCCATTAGGACGTCTCTTTCCAGGCATCACTCTTCCTCTACGATTCAGGCTAGTCTTACCAAAACCTGTAGGAGGACAAAAAAAAAAAAAAAAAAAAGAAAATATCAATTTAAGAATTCAACTGGGAGGGTCACAGGATATTCTATTTCCCAAGGAAGGCAGAAGTTGTGAATATTATTATTTTTTTAATTACATAAAATATTTTATTATAAAGAGGCAATTTGCTGCATTGGGAAGGGTTCTGTGGCTAGAGGGGACTGTAAATAACTACAGGATTCTCAAATGTTGCCTCTGGCCATACTCTTTTGTCATTAGTTTCTCAACAAACAGGACAGTCTAGACAGTCTTTACCTGTGCATCATGGTAGACACTAACCATATGTGGCTATTGAGCACATGAAGTTGAGTACTAGTCTGAATTGAGATATTTCCAAGTAAAATATTTCATTATTTTATATAAATTATACAGTGAAATATTTTAGAGATATTGGGCTAAATAAATCATGTTAATATGTGCTCCATTTTTATTGAACAGTGCTGATCTAGAGTGGAATCACTATCTCATCTCTAATTTACTTACGACAGCACATTGCAATCTGGCTTCATTATCAGCCCTACTCCATTCAAACTGCTTTTACTAAAGTCCCCAGTGAGTACCAACAGACACATTTTAATCTGTGGCATCTGACATTACTGACTTTGGTTTTTCATTATATATCTTACCTATTTAAATGCTTTTTTCAGGCTGGGCACAGTGGCTCATGCCCGTAATCCCAGCACTTGGGAGGCTGAGGCAACAGGATCCCTTGAGCTCAGGAGTTCAAGACCAGCCTGGGCAACACAGTGAGGCCTCATCTCTAAAAATTAGCTGGGCACAGTAGCACATGCCTGTAGACCCAGCTACTCAGGAGGCTGAGGTGAAAGGATCACTTGAGCCCAGGTGTTCTAGGCTGTAACAGAGTGAGATCTGTCTCCAAAAAATAAATAGATTAAAAAATAAATTAGGCTGGGTGCGGTGGCTCACATCTGTAATCCTAGCACATTGGGACGCCGAGGCGGGTGGATCACGAGGTTGGGAGTTCAAGACCAGCCTGGCTAAGATGGTGAAACCCCACCTCTACTCAAAATACAAAAATTAGCTGGGTGCAGTGGCAGGCGCCTGTAATCCCAGCTACTCAGGAGGCTGAGGCAGGAAAATTGCTTGAACCTGGGAGGCCGAGGTTGCAGTGAGCTGAGATGGTGCCACTGCACTCTAGCCTGGACCACAGAGCAAGACTCGGTCTCAAAATACATACATAAATAAATAAATACTTTTTTCTAGTTAAAAAAAAAACAATAGAGAACCTTTCGGAACTTATTCTGGTTCAGGGGCTGCCTGTTAAATTCAAAAACAAAGTAAATCAAAAAATAAACTTGCTCACTGCAGAATTTGTACACATAAGGTACAAATAAGAAAATAAACGTCACCCATCAGCCTACCATTTAGAGCTACCACTAACATTCTGTCTTGCAAGGTTTTCTTTTACTTGTGTATATACATACTTTAAAAGTTAACATTTTTGGTTTCAACTTTTTTTTTTTTTTTTGAGACCTAGTCTCACAGTCACTTAGGCTGGAGTGCAATGGCGTGATCTCGACTCACTGCAACCTCTGCCTCCTCGGTTCAAACAATTCTCCTGCCTCAGCCTCCCAAGTAGCTGAGGTTACAGCGCCTACTACCACATCAGGCTAATTTTTGTATTTTAAGTAGGGACAGGGTTACACTATGTTGACCAGGCTGCTCTCGAACTCCTGACCTCGTGATCTGCCTGACTTGGCCTCCCAAAGTGTTGAGATTACAGGTGTGAGCCCCCGTGCCCGGCCCCTGGTTTCAACTATTTTTAAGCAACTCAAAGACTATCACATTTGGTAATTCTCAATTTCATAGTAGTAAGTGCCTCAATTTTATAGTAGAAGGTGAACCGAGTCAATCTTTCAGCAGCTATGTAGCTCTACATACTATTTCGTAGCCCTACATTAATGCTGTATGGTAGGTTGGGCGTGGTAGCTCATGCCTATAATCCCAGCCTTTGGGAGGGATAGGAGGGTGGATTGCTTGAGCCCAGGAGTTTGAGACCAACGAGGAAAACATAGCGACACCCCATCTCTAAAAAACTACAAAAATTAGCCAGGTGCAGTAGTGTGCACCTGTAGTCAAGGTAATAGGGAGGCTGAGGCAGGAGGACCACTTGAGTCCAGGAAGCATAGGTTGCAGTGAGCTACTGCAACCACTGTACTCTAGCCAGGGATGAGAGAGCAAGACCCTGTCTCAAACACATACACACACCTACTCCGTGAATATATTATCCCATGTTTCTGATATATTTTTATTGCATTATGTGGGTAACCCCCCATATAGGCACCGAGGAATGACAGCCAAGCAGAACCCTGGCACAGTTAGGGCTTGAGGAACATCTCACTTTATAGTGTTACTATTCAGCTATTTCCTTTTATATAATCCTTTACATAATCATATATTAGTTTATAGAAATAGGGCTTGAAGGCTCCCTTTATATAATCCTCTATATATAATCATATAATAGTTGATAGTATGAGTGCCTAAAGAATATTTCCCTACATATATACCTATAATTATATCTTAGTTCATAATCGGAGGAATGCCTAGAGTGGACACACTACAGAGCATGAATTAAGGAATAAGCAGCTTATAACCGGAGGAATGCCTAGAGCAGACACAGTGCAGAGCATGATTTAAGGGAAAACAGTTATACCAGGACAAGAACCCATGGCTCAGGCAGCAGCGTTCAGTATCGTAAATATACCTGCTGTATGTCAGGCTTGGGGCGAGAGCCACTCCTCCTGATAAAGGAGTTGTAGGACCTTGCTCCAATTCTTGTGGAAGGCTGCCCTCAGAACGGCAATCCACCTTGGTGACCGTGAACTTTATCAGCTCTTGCTACTGTGCTGCTTAAAAAGCATCTTCCCATAGACCCCATTGGAAGCTGCCAGAAGGTGGCGGTAACCTTGACAGCTCTGTCACTACTGTGTGACTTAAAGCATCCTCCTATAAATCTTCTTAGAAGTAGTTTGCCCATAGATAGAAGTATCACACACTGCACCCTCTTCACTGCGCACGGCCCACCTTCAAGCCTCGGTGACCTAATGGGGGTGGACCCCTTACTGCACACGGCCCTTGCCTTCATGGGTACGGCCCCCTTGCTGTGCACTGTCCACCTCCTGGCCTAGGTGACCTAATGGGGGTGGACCCCCTGTTTTATTGCTCACAACCCTATGACCATCCTTAAAAGATGATTTTACTCACTGCCCTGCCCCCTAACCTATACACAATAAATACTCACGCTTCTGGACATTCGGGGCCTCGCCTAACTCCACATATAGGTGGCGTGGCCCGTCGAGCCCAGCTGTGTTTTCTTTGTACTTCTGTGTCCTGTCTCTTTATTTCTCGAATCCTGCGCCTCAGCACAGCATAAGGCTCACCCCACGACCCTGTGGGGCCCTCAGCCCTACATCTGGCTCCCAACGTGTCCTACACATCACTTTTAAATATGCCATATTTGATCTAACCAACTTCATACTAATCATTTCAGTTAGTTCTAAATTATAAATAATATCACAACAGAAGCATATTATACCACAATAGAACTCAGATATATTCTTAAACATATTCTTAAACACATCCACGGTTATTTTCTGAAGATTTAAGTTTCTAGACGATGAAATGCTAGGTGAAACAGTAAAGCAAACTCTTTGTTTTTTTGAGATGGACTCTCGCTCTGTTGCCCAGACTGGAGTGCAATGGCGCAATCTTGGCTCATTGCAACCTCTGCCCTCCTGGGTTCAAATGATTCTCCTGCCTCAGCCTCCAGAGTAGCTAGGACTACAGTTGCCGACCACCACACCCAGTTATTTTTTGTATTTTTAGTACAGATAGGGTTTCACCATGTTGGCTGGTCTCTAACTCTTGACCTCATTATCTGCTTACCTTGCCCTCCCAAAGTGCTGGGATTACAGGAGTGAGCCACCTCACCTCGTATCAGTAATGCAAACTCGTTTTTTTTTTTTTTTTGGAGACAGTGTCTCGCACTGTTGCCCAGGCTGTAGTGCAGTGGCGCAATTTTGGCTCACTGCAATCTCCATCACCTGGGTTCAAGCAATTCTCCTGCCTCAGCCTCCTGAGTAGCTGGACTACAGGCGTGTGCCACCATGCCCAGCTAATTTTTTTGTATTTTTATAGACGGGGTTTCACCATGTTGGCCAGGCTGGTCTTAATCTCCTGACCTCATGATCCACCCGCCTCAGCTTCCCAAAGTGCTAGGATTACAGGTGTGAGCCACCAAGCCCAGCCAAAGAAAACTCTTAGGGATTTTAATAATATTGCAAAAATCACTTCCAGAATGACTGCATTCATTTATATTCCTAGGGAAAAAAAGAATGTCACTTTTTCTATATCACTGACCACTCTGATTATTATAGTTTTCTTTAGACACAATCTTGCTCCATCACCCAGGCTGGAATCCAGTGATACCATCATAGCTAACTGTAGCCTTAAACTCCAGGGATCAAATGATCCTCCTGCCTCAGCTTCCCGAGAAGCTGAGATTATAAGTACATGCCACCACACTCAGCTACATTTTTTTTTTTTTAAAGAGATGTGGTCCTGCTGCTGCCCAGGCTGGTCTTAAACTCCTGGGCTCAAGCAATCTTCCCGTCTTGGCCTCCCAAAGCGCTGGGATTACAGACATGATCCACTGCACCTGGGCAACAGAGCAGAAGAAAGTGTTTCTCTAAAAACAAAACAAAACAAAGAGTCTGTTATCATGGCTGAAGCTCTCATCCACTTACTGCCTTTCAGCTGCCTACCACGTCACTCCTCTCCTCCCCTGCTTCTGATATTAGAAGATTTCTCTCTTGCCAGAAGGCACAATGTGAAACTCCCAGGCTGTATTAGTAAAGGGAGGGTGCTATAGGGATTGCAGAGAAAGGGGCTTTTCTTTCAGGTTTCAGTGTGCTTCTCAGTTTGTTCTTGTAGTATAGGAAATCCAGTA